CTTTTTGACTAGTATTTGGTAATATATGTTGATTAATATCTGTATCTGAAATTGTACATAAAACTTCATATTCAGTATGAACTATTTCAATAAAATCTTGTTTATCTTAAATTTAAATAATAACATATATATTAATAATTTATAATATAATTATAATTATTAAAATTATATAATACCTTTTCTAAAACAAAATTTAAATTTTTAAATCTAATATCAAAAAATAAACTATACAATCCTAATTCATTTGCCAATTCCCATCTTTCATTCATATCTTCTTGAATAATTTCTTTAATATTTTTAACTATGTTATTATTAATATTAGAACTTTTATTAATTTGATTTACTAATCTAATCATAATAGGATACATAACACTAAGGGTTATATATTTAGTACTACTTATTAAACAAGTTACTTGTTCAAAAGATTCAAGAAATAGAACAAGTTTTTTAATTATTTGCCATTCAAAATTTGTTGAAATTAATGATTCTAAAATAATGCCTTCTCTTTGAATATTAGTTTTTTTATCAGAAAAGAATGTAGTTTTTAAAATAATAATAGCTTGTTTTAAAAATAAAAGTCTTTTAAAAGCATAAAAAGTAGAATTTCATCTTGTATTATTTACTTTAATAATATCTAATATTGGTTCTTTTTCTTCATTATTATTATTATCATTATTTTTATTTTCTAATAAAATAGATATTTCTTGAAATGTTTGTTATTGAAGATATAATTGTGCTTCTCTAAGTTGTTGTCTTTTTTTATCACCACCTAAAAATTTAATAAGATTTTTACATTTTCCTATTAATTTACTTATTTCTTCTAATCCTTTATTAATGCTTAATTATAAAGTATGAGTTGCACAAAATATTTGAGTTCTAATTTCAAGATCTTTGATTGCTTTTTTTATATTTGCTCCATTATCAGTTGTAAAAAAAATAATTTTTAATTCTAAATTCTATATTTGAAATAAATTTTTAATATATTTTAAAATTTGAGAAGCTTCATATGGATAAGGTAATTCTGCAATACTTAAAAGAATATTTTTAGATTCAAAATCTTGAGAAATCCAATAACAAGTAACAGCTAAATAAGGAATATATGCTTTTGAACTCCAAAGATCTAAAATAAATGAAATATATTTAAACTATTATTAATTAATTCTTTTATTTGATCAAACATATAATGATAAATAAAATCTATCTCATTTCTTAAAGTTTTTTTAAATGAAATCTTATATCTTGGATCTAATTGATCACAAAAAATTAATAAAATCTGAAGCTTCAACTAATTGTAAAGATTGAACAGTTCTTACAATAAATTTAACTAAATATTGATTAAGTTCTTTTTGTTTTTTTATACTATGAAATATTTTTGAAATATTACTTAAAATGTTAAGTAATAATTGTTGAGAAGTAGAAGAACCTTGATTTTTTTTAACTGTAGTTTTTGTAATATGATGAAATGTAGCAAGATGTGTTTTCATAGCAGTAGTACTTTGATGATATACAAGATCTTGTCTACAATCTATTAATTAACATGTAGTAATATTAGATAAAGTTTCTTTAAAATAATTCCAAACATAACTTTTTTTTAATCTAGTTTTTCTTGTTAATTTTTTTTTTCTTTTAGTAAGAATAAATGAATTATTTTCTTCTAAATTAAGATCATTAGATGAATAAATTAAAATAGGATTATTATTAGAAGATTGTAATTCTATATCAGATTCATTGGATTTATTTTTTAATAAATTATCAAGTTTATTATCAGTACTAATATAATCATTATTAGAATGATAATTTTCATCTTCTTCATATATCTCAGATATATGTGAATTCTCTTTACTTATAAATGATAATGTAGTTTGTCAGGCCTTAGAATAAGTAGTAATGTTTGCCATAGTAATGAGTAAGTTATGGTAATTATTACAATTTACAAAACAATTAGCATATATACAAATTTAGTGTTATATTTAATTTTGTTTAATGATAAATAATTTCTGCATAAATAAAGTTACAATGATGCAACCAATTAAACATACATACAAATCTAGTGTTACATATATAATATTATGTAAACAATAAATAATTACTAAATTAGTATTAATTATACTAAGAATGGAGTGAAACAAAATGTATGGCATCTTTATTTATATCTTGTTTATCTGACACTAAGCTACCTTATTACTTAATTATAAAATAATTTGCTAATAAAAATTGATTTTATTTATTAAAATCAATTACTTTACCAAAATCGATTTTAATTACAAAATCGATTATCATAACCAATTAATCAACTTTTAGTTTCAAAATCGATTATTAAAATCGATTTTAAAATATCTGATTTTTGATAATCGATTCTCATTCCTACTCTATAAATGTAACAGGAACGGAGTATGAAATACGTAGGGTATAGTTTACTTAAGAATGAAATAGTCTGTGTGATTCTTAGCACATAATTGGATTACTCTTCATCATGAGTCACATGAAGGGTAACCCAATTATATGTTAAAAATCGCAAACACCAATTTATTCTTAAGTATACCATACTCAGAACCACCAGATTTTAGTAGCATCTAAAATAGTATTATTTTTTAGCAAAATGGCTAGCAACATTGTTTGTGCTAAGATGCAAAGGTTTCTTCTTTTGCATTAAACATGTGATTATTACTTTTGTTCTTGAACTGATTTATACAAACAAGTAATTATATATATATTTTAAAAGAACTCACTGAAATGATATATAAAGAACTTACAAAAGAGAAATATAATTACTTTAAAATTTATACTTAATAAATATAAATTTATAATAAGCTATTTTACTAATTTTGCAAAATTTACTAGCTAATTTTGCCAGTTAGTTTACTTTTTAATGACCAGTGATCCTAATTATGACCTTGTATAGTACTCAAAACAATACTTTAAAAAGTAGGTACCAGGAATGGAGTTTATTAATCCATGTGACTTATTCATTATTTAGTAAAAAAAACTTATAAATGAGTATATACATCTGCAAAATCAAAGATATAATAACAAATAATAATAAAAATTAGTAACAAAATGTAAATTTAAAAGTCTAAATGTTAAATATTTTGTAATTTTTATTTTTTTTATTAAATTTTTTATTAGGCAGATAAAATTATAATCACTGATTGTCAAAGACTTAATCAAAAGAATTTTTCAATTATTTATAAATACATAAAGAACACTAAACTTATATTTAACTATATTTCATTAGAATGTTCAATGTACTATATAGATCAAATATATGTATAGTCTTATAATACAGTTAGTAATTTTGCCAAAAATAAACAGTGTAGATTGCATTAAATAAGTATAAAAATGTTAATTACATGATTCTAGATTATTTGATTGCATAAAAATCATATATAATTAACTAATCAAATTTAACTATAATAAAATTTATTTATTAACTAAAAGAAGTTAGTTTTTATTTACCTTTTTTATAATATTTTATTCCAAGAGATAAACAATTTACATCTTATATTAGCTATTTATGTATTATTTAATATCAAATAAATAAATAAATATCAAAAGATATTACAATGATAAAAAATATTACACAGCTAATCAAATATATAAAATGATACAAAGATTATTCTAGAATGTAATTTTCTAATTTAGTAAAGTCTCTGACTATAGCAAAAATAACTAATAAAATTTTTTTGTATAACAAAAATAGTAATTTATATTAAAATCCTAAATTTTAATAAATTTTTATTAATTAATTACTAATTTAATAAGCAGAACTATAGTTTAGCATATACTAATGCATGCAATTGTTACAATGTGATATTATCAAATTGATAATATGCTATAGAATATAATGTTTCAATAAATGCATTTCAGAGTCTGTTTTTTTTTACTTTGTGTCAAATAAATTCAAATAAGTATGATTTAATTAAGACTTTATTTTAATTTTGTAGTACAATCTGTAACTTAATACCATTTTATAATTATTCTATAGTATTCATATGTATATCTGTTTTAGGATCCACAAAATGTTTTGAATAATTAACAGTTTTATGCTTAAATCTTAGTTCATTGATATTCAGAAAATCTTTTCAACAATCTGTATAAATAATTAATTTTTTTTCAACATATTTATCTAAGATATCTTTGCTTGTTTCTTTATCATATTTCTGTACTTTTATTAGAAAACATCATTTTTGTTCTGTTCTTTTAATACCACCAATAATTTACATACTATCAATAACTCTGTTATAATGATATTTCTTTTTCCAAATTTAGATTCATTAATTTTAATAATAATTTCTTCTTCATCTATTTTGTTTTCATAATCTTTTAAAGTATTAATAACTAATTTTCGATAGAATTTTATATAATCAGTTATTGTATTTGGTAAATAATCTGTCATCTTTTTAATTAAATAATAATTGCATTTAGAAAGTCAGAAATAGTAAAACAACATTGTAAGATTGCATTTCACATATTCTTTTTTTTTTTTTTTTTTTTTTTTTTTTTTTTATTATTATATAAT